ATATCTAACTTGAGTATGTGAATAATATTGCTGAAAAAATGTGACTATTAGCATGCTTTAAATACCCAAATGCTCCATCATATCAGAAATGCTTCCTTTATAGGACTTGAGTAGCTTGCAAAAACACACTAACTAAACAGAGCATGGTAAGAAAGTTTTGCAATAAGGTCCATGTATACTTATTAACAAGATTGCAACCCTTAAGCTTGTTTAAACTTCTATTTATATGCTTGATTACTTTTTTTTTTTTTTAGCAGCACGGAAACCAAACGCCAAACTAAATTAGCTTTAGCATGTGTGCATGCAGAATCTCTGAAATTTGCTGACTCCTTTTGTGAAATTTCCATGGGTTAAAATGTGTTTCAGCAGTCTTTAGAGAAACTCATTTGTAGCTACATATAATGCAAGTGCTGCTGATGAGCTGGATAAAATGCAAATGCTGCTGATGAGCTAGATTAAATCCTAACAGAGCTCCGTTTTCAGAAGTGTCCCTAATAAAAGGTAGAAGAAATCAAGCAACTTGGAAGCTTTAGGGAAAGCAAATTTATTCTGTAGCCCTTAGAAACATAATTTAACTTGAAATTTGCAGTTAACGACAAACCCTGAAACTTCACATTCCTGAACACAAGGCTTTTAAAATGTTGGCATGGGGTGGCAAGTCACTTATACAGCATATTTCTTTATTAAGGATGTGTTTTGGATTTCTTAACAAAAAAAGCAACCAAAACTCTTGATACAGTGGCCATTCCAGTAAAGGTTTGCGTGGATTTTGAAAATTGTGCCTGCCAAGATTTGGGGTCTTTGTCAGTGTGGTCAAGTCCTCTTGCCCATAAGGTCATGGCTGATTTGAACATATTGTGTGTTTGCATGTGGCCAGGTCTGGCAGCCGTGGTGTGTACCAGGGCGCTCCCGAAGCCAGCTGAGCTCATGTTATAACCAATGCCGTATTTCTATGTTACTCTCAAGGTGATTTGAAAAGGGGAACATGCTCCCCACCTCTCCACAGGTGTCTTCTAGCTATGAAATTTCTACAGGGCTACATTTTTGTTTACTTTTTTTTTTTTTTTGCAGCATGATTGAGAAGAGGGTCCTCCAGCAGCTCATTTTGTCTGCTCATCAGACAACTTAAGTTTCCTTTGACATAGCAGCTGTCAGTCAGTTTTGGAATTAAAACAGTATTTTAGCTTTAGTTTATTGCAATGGTTATAAATTCTTCCATGGGAGTGGAAAAAAATAAACAGCAACTTTTGGCATTGTTGACAAGGACCAGAAACAGCTATTTTCTTTTACTTGTCTTCCGGGCACCCAGTTAGAAATGCACTAAGACTTTTCTGACACCTCCCTATTGAGGAGTAATATGAACATCATTGCAGCATCAGCGTAGGAAAATATGCATTAGCAAGCTCTTGAATAGTTCTTTAAACTATTTCTCATGTAGTATCAGTTTCTTACTGTAAATGAGCCAAAATCCTTTCCAGCAGAAAATAATAACCATGCTTTTAACTTGGAGAGAGCACTCTATAAAATTTTCCTTTGTAGACTGAGAGTGAATGGAGCGCTTCAGCCTTGTTTTCTTCCTCGTCCTTGAAACGTTCATTGCTATATCCCAGCATTTTAGAGATCCATGGGAAGAAATCCCCATCTCACTGGATTTTTTTTTTGCCGTTGGCCTCAACAGGCTAAAGATTTCAAGCCATATCTTCACTCATCGGAGACATTACCAGGCCAGGAGCCCCAGCAGCTGCCTAGGATGTCACATATCTCATGCTGGGGAATGTGTGGCTCATACTGATGGGGATTAATTAGGGGTGGAGAGAATCTATGCTCTGCTGTTCTCTATCCCCTTCCTCCATCTTCTTCCTTTGCTTCTGTTTTGTGGAAGTGATATTGATTTAGCAGTAGTCCATAAAGTTGGGAAGATGGATATTGTGTGTCGTGTTTGTCACTTTAAAGGACAGCATGGAACTGGCTTTTGCACTGTCTTTGAAGGTGTAAGGAGACCAGTCTAATCCCTTAAATCTGCAGTTTGGTGGGCTGCTAGTCTAAGCTGTCCATGCCTTTGAGGACAGTCATGCCTTTAGTGGTCGGCTGGCTGGTTGAGATTCCTCATTGACCACATTCATCTGGTCTGCTCTGACTTTGTGCCTCCTTGCAGCTGAAACACTGTTGTTTGGTACCAAACGCCAAAGGCATCGTGGCCCATTTTACCCAGTTATTCACATGCAGCTCCAAGGTACGGCCATCTCGTTTGAAACCCAGTGCTCTGAGTGATCTCAAAAGCTTAAGACAACTTGGTTTCACTTCAGGACACTCAGCAGACTGGAACTGCAGTGACTTGAGATCAGGCAGCTGGTAGAGCAGAAGAGTTCAAGTTAGGTGCCTTGTAACTGCTGCACTGTTGGTCTCAAGGAGTAACAAGTGCATCTTGATTATCCACTTCCGTTCAGCTCATGTAGCTTCTCATCTTAGCATAACTGCTCTGCTCCGTGTCCAGGTCAGGTGTTCTCATTTCTTCTCTCCTTGTATAATTTGGGGGTCTAAAATGGTCATTAAATAACGTGAGCAAATGGATGGAGCTCTGGTGTAGTCCTCCAAGGCTACGTAGCGTGTTCGCAAACCCAGGTAAGTTGTTAACCTAAAGAACTTTCTTTTTGGATGTTCCTAGCTTGTATTTGTCACAATCTAAGTCCTGAGCACGATGCCTGTGAAATCCCAGCAAAGCCAAGATCATACCATGGTGCGGGGCAGGACAAGCCAAGTGAGAGCGTTTTCTCTAGGAGTGAAAAAAAAAAAAAAAAACTTATCCCAGAAAGATTGAGGTTGGAAGGGACCTCTAGAGATCATCTAGTCCACCCCCCCTGCTCCAGCAGGGACACCTAGAGCATGTGGCACAAGGTGGCATCCAGGCGGGTTTGGAAGATCTCCAGAGAAGGAGACTCTACAGCCTCTCTGGGCAGCCTGTTCCAGGGCTCTGTCACCCTCACAGGAAAGAAGTTCTTCCTCACATGGAGATGGAACTTCCTGTGTTTCAACTTGCACCTATTACCCTGTGGCCCCATCCTCTCTACATTTTCCTCTCAGGTACTTGAGCATGTTGATCAGATCTCCTCTCAGCCTTCTCCAGACTAAACAGGCCCAGCTCGCTTAGTCTTTCCTCATACGATAGATGCTCCAGTCCCTTAATCATCTTCTTGGCTCTGTGCTGGACCCTCTCTAGAAGCTCAATGTCCTTCTTGT